AATCTGTTGGGTAGTTCTTGTGAGAGTGAAAGGATGTCTGCCCAAAACCCTCGAAGTCAGCTAGTGTAGTACAGCTGAAGCAGTCAGCTAGAGGAGAATCGCCGCAATCCCGGATGTGCGACGGTGCCTACATAATACTGTAACATTTGTAGTAGCATGTACCAGTTCATGTATACCTTGTTTCCTGCTGCCAAATGTGTCGCAATTGCGGACTCAGTAGCACGCGTGGCAGCGGTCATCGATATCACGCGTGATTTTGATGCTCTTGACGTTGTCTGAACTCACGTCTGTTGCTGAGTCAACAATAATCACATGCCCAACCTCGGTAAACAACCAGAAAATAGTAGCAGTGGTCTGTTCATTGTAATACTTCGAGGCCTAAAAGTAGTACTTTCAAAAATAGTCATCAAAACTAGGTATGCGCTTGTCTACAGCGGCATTATGGGTGACCTTCTAATTTTCGTTTAACATGGAAGGCTAAAGACCATGTCTCGTCGAAGTGAGTCTAGGAACTGCAAAGATCTTTTTCTCAATCGAAAGTGCCCTCGCTTTCCTGACGCAAAGGCAGGATGTTTTAGCGAGTAAGCCAATCACATAAGGTTACACCTGGGTAGGGTCAGTATTAGCGTCGCGTGCTTTTCAAACGGGTGACCTTTCATAGAGTGGAACCGCAGTGAACGTGTTCGCATGCGCATTATAAGAAACATCAACATTTTTATAGAGAACCAGGCATGAATCACAACTCGAAACCAGTTTTAAAAGGTTGACTCACTGTTTGCACGAGCGAGTGCATCGTTGTGATGGCACTTTTTTGCTGGGACAATATCTATGACAGTTCAAAGGTCATAAACCTGAGACTTGATCGCTTCATGAAACTCTCTCACCAATATCAAGAAGATTTTACAATCTCAGCAGACTTCAATGGTTGGAACTGCTAGAAAAGTAGTTGAGAGCGGTTTCAAGGTCTGAGGAAGATTTTTTCAAATTGAGAGTCGTCATTGTTATCCCTTTTTGATGGTTTGGGTGCGCCAACATATTGCATCTTGCATTCAGTTCAGGCGGCTGAGGGGTGATGGTGGACGCGGTACTTAATGCAAGCCGAACTCCCTGACGATACAGCTCGGGTGAACCTAGATTACGCTTAGTTCCGTTCACTTTTATTGAATACCTCATTACCAACCGATATCTTTTTCCGGCGGAAGTGGTGTAGTGGCAAGTGGCACGCTTACCACGCGAGCGGTCCGGGGATCAAATCCTGGGTCGTGAGTCGCCCGGGCCAACCAAGCCTTCCATCCCTCCGGGGTCGGTTAATTGGTACCAGACTTGTCTGGGAGGATAAAAACACTGACTTGTACATCGGCTGGCCCCCGCAAGTCATTGTATAGGCCACATCGCATTCAAACGCCACTACGAATGTACAAATGGAAGTAGAATGCGTGCCGCATCCCAAAAAGGGATTGATCAACGGCAAATGCTTTATCCTTTATCCTTTTATTCAGTGATTCTCAATGCCTTCGAACGCGAGCTGGCCTATGCAATCATTTGGGGGGGGGGGGTGCACTGTGCTGCGCAAGTATTTTATTACCAGTTTAGCTCCGCCCGCTACCGCGCGCATTGATAGAACTGACAATCGATGAAGCTTTAGGTTTCACCGCTAAATTATAGCTGCTTCGTTAAATGTATTACTGTCCGTTGCATAGGCTGCCCATCTTGGCTGTATCTCACTGTTTGATAAGCGCAGTGAAGTGCACAGCTAAAGTGATGATGTAAACAACCACTATGCGTCGAGTATCGAGGTAATTTAGCGGTCGAATATCTCAAAACGGAATGCCCAGTATTCATTATCATATTTATTCGAGCATCCCATTCATCCTCAAGAACTCTAGAAGGTGTAGCGGTCGAAAGGTGGAGTTTACAATTACAACGCTGATGAAATGATATTGAAATGAAAGGCATTATCTACAATCTGCTCTCTATTTTCTATTTCAAGTGCTCTCTACGTTCGTACGCATATCGTTATATCAGTCCTCATCAGTCGTTATCACTTGGTGACCCCCACCAAATATGTTTGCGTCCCACCCCCTATATCATGTCCCAAAATCAGCTCCTGACCACTGCTGCGAAGCGCACATGAATTTTCGTGAAATTTGTATTTCAGCGCCTCGTATCTACTCTTATCAGTCGTTATCACTTTGTGACCCCCACCAAATATGTTCCCGTCCCACCCCCTATATCATGCCCAAAATCAGCTCCTGACGACTGCTGCGAAGCGCACTATGAATTTCGTGAAATTTGTGTTTCAGCGCCTCTTATCTACTCTTATCAGTCGTTATCACTTTGTGACCCCCACCAAATATGTTCCCGTCCCACCCCCTATATCATGCCCCAAAATCAGCTCCTGACGACTGCTGCGAAGCGCACTATGAATTTCGCGACACTTGCGTTCTAGCGCCTTTTATCAGCCCTTATCAGTTGTTATCACTTTCTGTACCCCACCAAATATGTTCCCGTCCCACCCCCTATATCATATCTTGAAACCAACTCCTGACGACCACTGGTGCCCGAGCTATGAATTTCCGGTCAGACAGACAAACACATACACACACACACACAGACACACACACGCACAACCGCTTAGCCGATTATATATAGTAGGATTTTCCCACACAATCTTGATTTACAACTTACCAACCCCCCGCACTATTGGGACGGTTTGTGGCCTCGGACGGGTACTACTCAGGATACCCGAACGGCGTACTACCCGCGCGTACAACCAAGGATTCGATCATGAGCCGCGGGTGTGGAGAGCAGTGCCGGTTGCCATTTCACCACTTCCGGTCTTCAAGAAAGTGTCTATAGAATTAACAAAAAGTGTGATCTTCACTTATTATTCAAAAAACATTCTCACAAGTTTCTCTCAGAAGACTAATTTGGGGATTTTTCATCTGTTTTTTTTTTTGTTTGTTACTTGAACACTTGCGCCTAAGGTACTCTGAGGAAATGGAGATAAAAGGTAAGAACAAATGGGGATAATCGCAGGTGTTAGAGGGTCGTTTTCGAGGGCCATGAATTGTCCCACAGGACGCTTGGGGTGTTGGATCCACGCAGCACTATGAACCCGTTCACACTCGATCGTTGATTGACGCTCAGTATTGTCAATCTTAAGTCCTATCAGTCCAGCTGTACTTTCTTTCCATCTCGGATAAACTTTGATCTCTTTCCGGTAACATACTTATTGTTTTATTTCGCTGTCTGTATAATACTGAACTCTTCCACAGTGCAGAACGAGGAGGTTCACATTTTTATGTTTTGGACAGTTGTTTTCTTTTCTCAACCGGTGCTTACAATTAGATTCACCCCTAATTTCATGCTTCAGATGAATTACTTACGTTAATTTGATTGTTATATGTGCCTTTGAAGCGGCTAGAGAACTCTTTCTGTCTCTTTCTTGATGCTCACAATTATTCACGACCATTCGTTCATATTTTTATGCAGTTCCTTCTTGCCCCTCTAAATGTTGCTTTTCTCTGCAGACTCCAATATCAATGATCAAAAAGAAGTTCCCGAAGCAAAGGCTTTCCATTGCAATTCTCTAAAACTTCATCCAAAAAGACCTTTTCCTTTGTCTAAAATCTCAGATGTCGGTCACGAAGCACTGGCATCGCGCGAGGATGTGCCAATAGAAGCTCAAGCATTTTCAAAGAACGAATGCACTGCTGTGAATCAGAGCTAAAGTGAGGATACTGTTGTAGAAAACAACTAATTAAGATAAACCAATTACTCCTCGTTGGTGGTAAATTGGGGCTGAATGCGGCTGGGCTAAATGATGCGCGCATCCTCATCCACGAAAACTTCAGGTGCCTGCTATCGTTTGAAAGCTGGGACTTTTCTGAATGGGTGTTGTTTTGCAAACGCGCACCGTATTATGAGCTCGTCTCGTTTGATTTCGCTCCCTGTCACTAACCGTTAGCATGGCCAACTTTTTCATCAGTCTGATGGCACTGTCGCTGCAAGAAGTTTGAGATGATTTTGAGCTAACCAGAAGTTTTCCTACATCGCGCATCATCTCCCATTACCCTTTATCGGCCTGTCTGAAGCGAGGTTTGCTGAATAGCTCGCTAATAATTTAGTCCAGGAATGGATGATGGATCGAAGTAGCCACAGACCTAAGCTATTGGATGTGTTTTTGCACACTGATCTCGAAACGGCTTTTCAAATCTGTCAGCCGATTTTCTGAGCAGCGTTATGAGTTAGAGCAGTGTAATAGCCTCTGGAACTCACGGGCGAGAGGTCGTAGGACCATCGGTGACGATTCTGTCGCTGCAACTGATAAAAAGGCGCTCAACTATGTCACTTAGTGAATGCTTGCCATAGGCCACCCGTAGACTTTGCGAGAATTTCCCAGCAAGTTTAAAAGACACTTTGCTAATCGCGTGCACGGAGCTCTCACGATCAGAACTCTTGACAAACGTTTTTGCAGCAGACAGGTGTGATATCCGTGATCTGGAGATAAAACTACTCTAGGGGCAAAATTGCCAAATCACTTATAAGGTAATCGATCCTACGTCCACTTGCTCTATTTTGCTTCACACTACTGTTCAAAAAATTGGTTACAAGTTTAGAAAGCAGTTTCCGGGATTCAGTGTTAGAAACACAAAAGACACTGTAGGACTCATATGGCCACTGCGACCAATCATCTTTTCCTGGTAAGAAGCTGTCGAAGAGCTGTGCTCATTTGCGACTTCCATTTTACGTGAACAGAAACCTTGTACTATGGTCAGACATTTTTGAAATGTGGAAAAAGTCACAAGAAATTCGCAGGGCAGCATACCCCTAATTTTCATTGGATAAACGTGCGCATGCGGATCCCGAATTCGGTGGTTAATCAACTTCGAACAGCTTACTTTTCGTCTTTCCATCCATTATGAATCGTTTTCCAGAAATATCTTCAAGAGTTCGGCTATGTAACGCCTAGTAACACTCTCGGCTCTGCACCGGGAATGTCCGGTGATTTCAGCGATGTGGGGAGCCTCTTCAAACGAGCTATCGCGTACGTATTTCTCATCAAGCTCTTCTCGAAAATTACGAAAGTGACATAATTTTATTCTCCGAACCTTCCAGTCTTCAGATTAGAAGTAACATGAACGCTCATCATGACTTCTACTTTTATTTGGTTCCAATTTTCACTTCCTTCAGACAGACATCAAACTAATCCTTTATTCAAGAACACAGCTTTGTAATCTAAAACCCGACCTTAATCCCGTCTTCATACCTACCCTTAAATGCTTCCTATTTTCAGAAAATTTCAAGAATTTGCTGGGATAAAGCCGACCGGGGTTCTAGATCTGGACACCAAGAAGAAGATGGCTGAACCGAGATGTGGAGTTGACAGAAGTGTTGGGCAAGTCAGCCGTGGAGGTGCTTGTTTTGCTGCCTTTCTGTTTGAATAAAAAAAAAATCACGTTGGGCAAACTTTTGAATTCCCGGAAAACATTATGCATGTTTTTGATCTTAGAAACGCTGCTCTGGCTCACTTTCAAAGCCTTTCTCCGAAATATTCGGATCCCGAAAACATTTGTAAAACACAAAGCTGCGGTCGAAAGTGTCTAGTTGTCCATTTTTTATTCATTTAGATCTATTCCGGTCGCTCTAATGCTTATTCCATGGTGCGCCCGGTTGCGGTGCAGTTCGCGTAAATACTTCACTTATTGTTAGATCGCTTTGCATAGCTTCACACAGGGTCAGAACCCGTCGGATATACAGATCCAAACGGGGACCATATTTGTGGTTTTGTTATTTGTGGGTATCCTATTTGGGATTCACAATAGGTCAACAATCTCTTCCACAGAGTCGACCGTAAACATGCGGTGCGGATCGAATGAAGATCGAATCAAACTGTCTACCATGAATATTCGGTAGACATCAAAGTTCGAATGGGAGGGAAGAGAATAAAGCGATCGTGACTGTGCTGGAGGGAGCCATTTTCGCATTTTTTCACATTTTTTCGAAGTGTATCGACACGTTTTTGGATCAAGTCCTACTGAAGCAATGACGGAGGTGGGAAGGCGGTGAGGGGTGATGGTGGACCGTGCTTAATGCACCGTCATCCCTGAGAACTACAGCTTGGAAGAACTAGATCACGCTTAGTTCTGTCACTTTTACTGAATACCTCATTACCAAAGATATCTCATTTTGCTGGGTGGACTTATCGCAGGTGCGCTCAGTGAGGATCTGAAAGTCCAAGCAACCTGGATTCCCTGTAGCGGTCATTTCATATCGACTCCTAAAACCGGCTTGTCCACATCGCTACAGGAAACGGTCAATTCAATCATTAGCTAATGGTGTCACGTCGACTCACGCGGCGAGCAAGCGTCGCGCGCGCAGCAGCTGGTGCGGCGATTTCTGTCTGGAACTTGGCTTTACCATCCATTTCCAAAGTTACCGATAAGAGTAGAGTGCTGAACATCAGTAAGCCGACAAGCGTCAATTCAAGATTCAGGTCTCACAGTACAAAACTTGTATCATGTTAAGGTTGTTCTTTTGGGACCTGTTGGCCGGAGGCGGGGCATCTGCTGACGCAACTGCTATTTACCAAAGGGAACATGTTAGAGCCTGTTAACATATTCGACGGCTCTCACTCAGCAAGTTAAGACATGTTAAGAACCTTGACGCATTCTGAGAAGATCTGACCTATTTTCTGCCCTACCTCTTCTTTCTTTTTTCTTCCACATCCAGAAAAAGGGGCGCCCTACACGATATCGGGATTTGGCAAGCTATCCTAAGACAAAGCCTCAAGAGGTGGGCAAGAGCTACTCCACGAGTCGCTAAGGCTCAAATGTCCTTTCCAACAAAAGCAATCGTTTGAATGGCGGTTTCACTTACCAGGGAGGAGTCTCCCAGAAATGACCAAGCGTGTGGGGGGGGTGGGGTTAACGGTTTTTTGCATGATATAGGGACACATGCGTGAAACACCAAGCTGTAGTTCATTTTTCCTGAGCGGCCCTCTGAATACCAAAAAAGGAGCGAAGAAAAAATTCTCAAGAAACTGCCGTTCTAACCGCTTTTTTGTGACGTACATCGCACACAGCGTTGACCAGTGTCATATCAAAAGGTTCTCATGAATGGTACATTGAGAACAGTGCGGAATTCGGTCAAAAATAAAACGATCTCCTTAGCATGTATTGAAACTATTGTGGAATATTCATCAGCGCCTTCTGAAGCTAGCTGTCAGCGGTAGTCGGGTGGCCTAGTGGTTAGTGGTGCGGTCTGTGAATCGGAAGTGGAAGGGGCGTTGTTGATGGTTCGACTCCCCACAGTGCCAAAGTTTTGCTTTTTCTCTATTGTCATTTCCTGTGATCGTGCACTCCTGCGCATGCATATAATGCGGATTTGTGTTCGTTTTGAGATCCTACGACTGCAAATTCGTATTGGTCTCTCACAAACTTGTGTGTGCATCGATATAAATTTTATAATTCATAAACAAATTGCCCCCGGAAGGCTTGGAGAAGGGCTAACGTGGAATAGGAGGGGTCCGTCCTAGAAATTACCACGGAAACCGAGGTTCTCCCTCGCAGGGCAAGTCTCACACAACTTTGCGTTTTTCGCAGCTGACCTAGCCATCGGCAGTAGACCCAGCCAGAATTATGACCAGAAGTCCATCCTGCCAGTGTTTGACAAGGTGGAGAACTAATGACATAGTCATTGCTGTCTTCTCACCCATCGCTTGAGTGTCTACCATTGTCTATTACGGGGAAGGATCTCTCATTCCGTAAGAAATGACAAGAAGGTCGCCTCCAAATTGTTTACCAAAGAGCCTGACGGGCTACTGACCCATGGTCCAACTGTTCGAAGTTAGGACGAAATCTTAATTTTCCCTGAAACTTTCGGGCTAGGGGTTATTCGGCGTCCTGATTACGAATATTCTATTAGTTTTTAGCGTAAACGTCATTTGAATTCGCTATGACGCCATTGGGCGCTACAACGGCGCCGTTTTGGTGTCGCAACTTTCTCCACCAGTTTTTTTAGTCAATAATCTACGTATGAAGGTTGGTGTTGCTCCTAATTATAGATATGGCATCTGCTATTCACGTTGACTCCCTTTTTCGTGAGTTTTGGAACGCCAACAGAAAATGCAAAAAATTGTCACTGGGAGGATCCGAACCACGGACCACTTCATAACCCCTTTTTTGGTATTCAGAAGGTCGCTCAGGAAAAATGAACTACAGTTCAGTGTTCCATGCATGTACCCCTATATCATGCAAAAAACCGTTTTGAGAAAGCTTGGCATTTCCTGAAAGACCTTCCTTAGTGTTGTTGTCGTGATACACGCATCTCTTTCGTATA